GGGAGCCTGAAGTCCAGCTCAGTCCCCCAGACGGTCAGAAAACCAGATTCAGTTCCTCCAAACCCAGTGGGTCCAGACCATGGAAAGGTGTCCAACCTGCTCCAGACCCAGAAAGAGCTTCAGATGCTAATCAGCTTCCCACCCAGGAGCACCCTGGTGACCGTCTGGACCCCCCCGGACCCTCTGGACTCCCCTGGACCCTCTAAACCCCTCTGGACTCCCCTGGACCCTCTGGACCCCCTGCTCTCACCCTCCTCCTCACAGCTACTGCCTGAGCTGGCAGGTGAGGTGGGTTGGATTGGTTTGTTTTTCCTCTGAGTGGCAGCTCCTGGGTCCAGGACTGGGATCGGGACCAGGATCGGGACCAGGACCGGTACCAGGATCAGGACCGGGACCAGGAGGGTCCTCTGTGAACAGGACCAGCCAGCTGCTGACTGAAGAAGTGGGTTGGATTGGTTTGTTTTTCCTCTGAGCGGCAGCTCTTTGGACCAGGACCAGGACCGGGACTGGGATTGGGACCAGGACCGGGACTAGGACCAGGTCCAAGACCAGGAGGGGTCCTCTGTGAACAGGACCGGCCATCAGCTCCCACTCAGGCAGACGCGGCACCAGAGACCCCATCAGAGCCCTCAGCGGTCCAGAACACAGACCCGGTCCAGACCACAGACCCGGTCCAGACCGTAGACCCGGTCCCGGCCCCCCAGCGGCTCCACTCGGCCACAGACTCCCCCCCCCCGGTCACAGATCAGTGGGGCCGGGCTCCACCCACAGCATGAGACATGAACACTAGAGGTTTTTCCGGACTGAGGCAGCGGTCAGCGTAGAGTTCCAGAAAAAGCACAAAGCGGAGCATAGACCCCTCCCCCCCCCCCCCCGCCCCGAAAAGCAGCGAGCGAGGACCCAGACCGGCCCGGGTCGGTCCGACCCGCTGGTCCTGGCGACTGTAGGATTGTTCAGTCCGGTTTTCTTTTTTTCTCTCTTTTTTTTTTTTTGGGTTGTGAATAATTAAACTGATGTTGATTTGAGCGAAGTTTTCCACGAGTCGTCATTTCTCCGTCCCACGAAAAGCCGGGACTCACTCAGACCGTTAATTTATGCTCTCAGTGTTTCACAATTTTCAGCCGATGAGGATTTTCTGAGTCAGAAAAGCACCAAGCAGAACCTCCAGCCTATCAAAACTCTCTTTT